AAAATTTTTTTGTTTACTCGTATTGTATTGTGCAATAGTGATCGACAAAATTACGTTTTTGATATTTTTATTAAAAACTAGGCGCTTGAGTTGTTCGAAGGGAGCTAGAAATGAGCGTGTTGTATTGTATAGTATTGTTATATTACGCATGTATAACAGAGAATCATAGTTTTGGATAAGCATTTACGCACTTATATTCAAACCAACGGAATCGAATTATAAGGGACTTATACTAAAATTAAAATAAAGACTTCGATTATTGATTAACAATACATAACTAGAACTTGCACATGTGGTGACTTCGTCAACAAGGTTTAATGTATTTACTGAAAGATAAGAAATTTATATAGAAATTAATATTATATTATCAGTATAGAAATTATTGACTTAATTTTTTTGTTTAAATACTTTCTTTGGTTTATTGTATAAACTACCCAGGATAGTGTTAATCATATGACATGTAGGCAGCTTCACCACCTAAGATTTATGAACAAATTAATATAAAAAAATATTATATAATGAACGAATAAAGTGTTTGTACTTAAATGCTAAATGTGATTAAAAGGTATATATAAAAGCAAATTTGCAATGGTCATTTTATGCCTGCTATAATGGTGTAAAGCAACCTGGCCAAGAATATGTGATCCAAAGTTATAAGAATCGGGACCTTAATTCTCATTTATTGACAAAAGTGTAAGTATTTAAAATGCTAATTCTGATTGACTTGAGGCGAAGTTTTATTGAAGTATCGTAAAGCATTGCATTCAATACCCGGGGTACAAATCAAACAACACTGGCTAACTTGATTTGTACCCAGTGATTTTATGCGAGGGAAAAGATAAAATCCAGTGGGAAATACTTCGAATGATTCTTAGACAAGGGTCATATTTATTGGATGAAAATAACTACACAAATATAATTGAAATTAAATGACAGTAATGAGGTTTTAATCTGGTAGAGTACAATTCTGGGGTACTAAATGTGGTGCTATATGGTGCAATAGTAAATTTCTCTGGTATTCAAATGGCAGGAACTAAAATCATAGTTATGTAAATAAATATGAATTACTCACTGTTAGTCATAGAATTTCTACCAATACTATAAATAGTTATATTGCTTGTAAGATTCTAATCGTAGTAACAAAAGCCCATCATATATAAAACTTATTAATTTCATGTAACAAATAGTATGAATAGATAGATATGAAAGTATCATATTATAGATATGAAAGTACTGTATTATATTAAATAAAGACAACTCGCTATAACACGTTGTAATGAGAAATATTCTATAGTTAGCATGTGAGATAGCATCAACAAATGCTATTTCAGATTTGACTTGAGGTGAGTGTCGGTGAATTGAATTGAGCTGTTGGTATTAGTGAATTGATTGTTGGTGAATTGGTGTCGGTGAATTGGTTGTTGGTGAAATGCTATATTTACGAAATGAGTGTCAATAAAATGAGGCGGACCCCAAAAAAAAACAAATGTAAATAACTTATATCCTATATAGGTAACAAAAAAGTAGGTAACAAAAAGGTAAGTGGATTAGTTAGAATTACGTTCGATAGGGTATTGATTTGTATTATTATTTACTATAAAAAAAAAGTTATATGTAAAGAACTTACAAACTATATAGGTGACAAAAAAGCAAGTGGATTAGTTAGAATTAATATTTAATAGGGCATTGATTTGTATCATTATTTACTGTAAAAAAAATCAGATATCAAGAACTTACTCACTGTAGAAGTGACAAAAAATAAGTGGATTAGTTAGAATTAGAGTTGCTGGTGAAACTAGTGAAACTCGGTGAAACTTGGTGAAACTGATAACTATCTAAAATCTGATTGGCTATTAAATACAATAGCCAATTAGATTTTAGATAGTCACCAGTTTCACCAGTGTGATTTAGTTTCACCTGCAGCTCTAGTTAGAATTAATGTTCAATAGGTCATTGATTTGTACTATTATTTACTGTAAAAAAAAAAAAAAAGTCATATGTAAAGAACTTACTCACTATAGAAGTGACAAAATGTTTTTGCAAAAGTTAGCAATTTAATTTAGCACAAATTCATCTCATAATCATATAATATTCGTATCATGAAGTTTAAGGAACTTTGGAAAAATTTTAAACGTTACTTTTATTATGTTACACTTTTAATAGCAACTCATATTCTTATATCAGACTATGCGTTTCTTTTGACATTGATTAATTCAAAAAGCGCAGTGTGTGAGACATTCAACAAAAATAACACCTGATAAATAATATAATTCCTTGGGAAGATGCAAACCTATCGTATTGGAATTCTACGGATTTATCTCATCCTTATGTAGATCATGAAATTACCACCACACCAGATAAAAAAATGAAAATTTATTATCTGAGTAACTTTATAATTAATTCTGTCTCATATCAAGGTACTTCATATCAAAGTAATTTTGGAAATGACAAATTTAATTCTTATAGTGGTATAGTAGGCAATGCCACCATTAATAACACGAATAGGTCTATTATTCCCCTCGTTATTCCTGTTGCCACCGCCAATAATGAAGTTATATGAAACATACCGGCTATGTAATTATTCGTGAGGGATATAAAAGCCCAGAATCAGTATGTCAGGCATCGATACCAAATTGTTATTTAAATAATGTAATAAACTTTCCCTTTACCAAAATTGATATAAACACATCAACATCTAATTCCGTTGAGGTCAGAGGTAACTTAAATGCCACCTTTAATATTCGTCCTAATCTTCAAATATATGTGTGTGACTATGCTACGAACAATAAAGTTTCTTATGATTGGGCTCAGCAATTCAGTGTGATAGCTCTTATCTTTATTTCTATATTGGAATTGCTTAAAGCTGTTCTCTTAATTCAATGGTCATGTTTATATATGGCTAAACAATACAGTCTTATAGCATTTTCAAGTTATTCACCTATTATACTTGTCTTTTTATTCTATGGATTTATAAAGTGCCAACCTGGAGTATTTGTCGGCATACATAAAATTATTTTAGCTACCAGGGATTTTAAAGATGCTGAATTTTTTCAACTTTTTGGTGACTTATTATTACATTCATTACCCATGTTAACGTTATCAATTCAGAACATTATATATAATTACAATGAAAATCATCAGTATCCTTCAACAATTTCTATTCTATCTTTTGTGGGTAATTGTGCTATGTTGCTTATTAACCTTTTTCACCTGTATACTACTGTCAAGTCAATAAGGGGGACACAAACCTTTGATGAAGTAATCTCGTATTATAATTAACTTCAACGGCCAAATAAAAAAAAACTGCTTATATTTGCTTTGATAGACTGTGGATTTAATATTATTCCTCTAGTTTTTATAATTTCTCTGGCTGTTCAAGGATTTAAAATCGCCTTAATTTTTATAATTCCACTTTTGGTTATCTTTGCCAAACTATTAGTTTGTTTTTCTCAATTTTTTACTTCTCGTTTCCGAAAACCATTGAAATCTCCATTAGTTTTTTCTATGGCAATGAATAGTCCATTCCTCCTCTTTTGCATTATCTCTTCACCTATCCGACAATTGGTAATCATAACAGCTTCTAGTGGCGTCACTATCTGGTCATGTTGGCCATTAGATTTCGTGGCTATTGATATTCCAATTGCAGTGACAATAATTCTTATGAATATATCCGGTTATGTAAATAGTGCAGATGTCTCTCTTTTTCAACATAATCCTGCATTAGTTATTTTTGCTACCTTTTATTTAGTATGGAGAATTATTTCAGGTTGCTGGTATTTAAGTATTAGTTTATCGGTTAGAACTAAAGAAAACAATACTCATAATCAGTCAACTGAAGAAATTGATCAACATTCTTTTTTTGATTCATTCAAACGAAGATCTCCAATTCATGGAATACCCATATATACTTTATTTAAACTATTCATTTGTGTGGGAGGCTTACGAACCATTTTAGCATTTTCATGTCACAGCCAGATCCAACAATTTACGTTGTAGTATCACCCAAGATTCTTATGGTACTTGGTTTAGTAATTTTTCTTAGCCTTGACTTCATTGGTTCATTGGCACTATTAATTTCATATTATAGCCCATTTTCTATTCAAGCTCTGGCATTATACCTCAATTCACCATTCCTTGTGTTTCTTTTACTTCATCCTCAATTCCGTGCAAAAATTATTGCTGCTGTAAAACTTGATAAGCATAAATTACTTGTTTGGAAATTACGTGATTTAGTGTTAATCAGTTCATTGCTTCTCATATGGCCCGGATTAGGGTTTGGATATATGCCGTATAATAATCATGACAAATATACATGGTGGTTATGGTATGGTTGGTTTTTTGATAAAACGCTCAAATCAAGTCAATCGAGTAGCACAACTTATGAAGGTTACTGGAGTCTTTGTGGTTTTCTATGCACTATATTGTTATTAATTTATTGTGAAAGATCAATTTTGTTAAATACAATGCCATCTGATACGGTTGAATAATTTTATACAAAATTATAAGATCTCCTGCAAGAGACGTAGTGTGTCTCCCAAAATTCTTCAAAACTTATTTACATTAGAATAGTGCCTAGATTAGAATTAGAGATAAGTGAATACATTAATAAATTTGTCCAAGGAAAACTTTTTGTCAGAGCACGAAAAGACTTTTTTTTGAATAATAAAAATAATATTTTCTTCGCAAGGGTGTTTGTTTTGAATTTTCCTAATCATGTTATATTCATTAAACTGTGACTTGCCACTGACTAACAGATAACAGGTAAAGAAGATATTTTTCATAGAAGATGTCTAACAGCACTCAAATTTTATTTGTAACTTCAAAATTTTGGTCTATAATGAAAATAGTTAAAAACAAATCTTAATCTAATTTGTATTTCATACTAAGTAAGATAATTTTAAATGAGCCTGATAAAATATATATTTCGTTTGTAACGCAATTATAAACCTTATCAAATGTGCTTCGCTTTGTGGCATGAAAAGATTTATTAAAAAATACTTGATTAAATTTAAAAAAACAAATAATGGGGTTTCAGAATTAATGATTCAGCATTTGATTTTAGATAAAATAAATGATGTATTTATTCCAAGATATGTGATTTAAATAATCGTTTACTGGTAATGTTAACAAAAAAACTTAATTTTATCATGTATAATTAATGAAATCCTAAAACAGAAAATATGATTTTTTTTAATCTCACTTATGTTCAGAATAAGATAATTCTGCAATCCCCAATATATTTACTTTGTCCATATTTAAGAAAGAAGTAGTTGCACAATGCAGTTTTGCTGGATGTATAGTTAACCCATCTACATCTCACTTTATTATATCTAAGGATCAAGAAAGAATTTTTGGAATTTCACCTAAAGAAAAGATACCTGAGCATCAAAAAATCTTTATGAAACATATTTCTACTTACATTTTCAATATTGTAGTCATTGCTGTTTAAAATGATGTTATACGCACCATTCGACTATGGAAATATGTCCAATTCCGACACTGATTATAATGCTGCTAATTGAATTATTAATATTTATAATCGATATAATATTCATTTTCTTAAACAACTCTTAAGTGCAATTAAATTTTCATCAATAGTCGGATGTTTTTTTATATAAAAGTTCAACGTAATCTAGATGAATTTTATCAAAAAACTAAGCGTTCCGTTCATAAGTCCCGGAATACTACATTAAGATTATAAATATCAGGTTTCTTTTCATGTTTATTAGTATAGGGATAGTATCTTGGCTAAATATTATATACTGATAAGACTTTTACGCTCCAAGTTGGCATTGTACTATATGTTTTTTTTTTTTTTGATAGTAATTTACACGTAGTGTGGAATACATGGTTCTATCACAAAAATCCGATACCCAAAATCTCAACAGATCATAATACTGACATCACAATTAAAAATTTAAAATCTGACAATGATTATTAATTTGATTACAAATCTTTAAATATTAATTGTCACGTTGAGATTTTGGATGGGATTTTGTTGTACGCGGGTATTAATTTGCAAATCTGTGTAAGGTGCAAGTCAAAATAATTCATATAAAACAAAAATTGAACGCATTTAAGGCTAAGGTAAGGTTGTGCTTGGGATAACAGCAGGTGATAGTTTATACCAAAATTTCATAAAGAATTTTTTAATTATTACCTAATGGCTTTATAAGCGAAATTTCGAATTTTTTTAAAGAAAGCAATAATTTTACGTTACACGTAATCGTGTAATCTGATTGGCTTTCTGATTACCCGTATATGTACAATAGTGTACAAATAGAAATAATTAAAATATTACTATTCTCATTATAATCAATAGACTTGAAGATTAAAATTGTTGCAAAATTTTACGCGGACTAATCTCTGAAATACATTTTTCATAATAATTTTCTGTAGGTTATTTCAATTACAATGTTAATAAATAAAGAAATTTCAAACTTATCGTCTTGATATTTTGACTTTTAAATAATTATGTAAATTTTCTTTATTAATCGATTATTTATGGGAAATTTACAGATAAAGCCCAAAATAAAAATAATTACAGATAGAGGCCTGATTAAGGATGAAAAAAAAAACAGGTTTAAACACTTTTTCACCGATTTAAAACAGGTGATAATTAAAAGTCAGAATAGTTTTTGTTTTTAAATATACTAAGACCATAATCATTACCTGTTTTCAATTAAGTAATAAAAAACATTTTCCATCTCTAGGCATAAGGGACCAAATAATTATGCTCTTAAAAACCTATGATTTAAGTCCATTTCGATGATTTGAATATTATTGTAATATAGTCATTGATTGTTAACGTATAAGAAATGTAATAATAATCAATTAGTAAATCAAATATAAATTCAAATGCACAATAAAAAATGTACATTTGATTCGTCAACCTATTATTTGCTCTGTGAATTTATTCCATTAACGTCTTGATATATTTTTAAAAACCTGCTTATAACAATCACTAAATTTTGAGGCCGGTTTTATTTTTCATATGTTAAAAACTGGCTTTAATCGGTTTAGCATATGAAAAATAAAACCAGTTTCAAACTCTAACAAACACCATGTAAGATACAAAATTACAGATCGGTATGATTTTACTAATATAGAAAATGTTCATTCAGTCTTGAACAGTTATTTTACCGAACCCTCTTCTTATAAGTTCAGAATAAACAATCCCAATAAATTTTTGGCTATTTGTTTTACAAATAAAGCCAGTTCATGCTCTTTTACTATTTCAGCTAACAACCCAAAGATGGTTACATTCATATAGTAAGGCTGATTCCTCATAATCCAACTTGTCTAACTTCTATAGAAACTTCAAGGCACATTGATCATACCTTGTAAAGTTTACTGCGCAATTAGTCAAAAATATTGTAGTTATTTTTGAACCAGGACCAATTTTATATATATGACGTAATAATATTTTGGTTTGGATTCAAAAATAATTATCCATATAGCAGTTACTTCGACCTCGTGATATTATAAATCGTGTTCGTTCTGAAGTGGGGTCGAAACATTATACACGGTAACTTGGAATAGTAAAGTTATTAGGCCACACAAAATTAATTTTTCATTTTGCATTACATGGCTTTCAAAAATCCAGTTGGTTAGTCGGATGTTTTTTTTAATTCTGAATTATGAATGATAACTCTAAAACACCTATTTAATCACGAAATGAGGCAATTAATCATAATATCGTTACGTTTAAATCAGCAAGCAATTTTGATGGTATATTTGGGCCCTTATTTGTAATAAACTTTAAATATCTGGTCTTTATC